TTCAATGTTCGGTTCTCTCTTTCGGCTACACCATTTTGTTGTGGTGTATAAGGTGCCGTAGTTTGATGAATTATACCATTAACTTCACAAAATTCAGAAAGTGATGATAATTCATATTCACCACATCTATCTGATCTAAGCACTTTTATTTTCCTCTCAAGTTGATTTTCAACTTCTGCCTTATATGTTTTGAAAACATCTAAGGTCTCATCTTTATTATGTAATAGATATACATAGCAATATTTACTACAATCATCAACAAATGTGACAAAGTATCTCTTACCACCTCTTGTTGGAGTACTTTTCAAGTCAGATACATCACTGTGGATTAAATCAAGTAATTCATCATTTCTTTCCACAGATGGAAATGACTTTCTAGAAAACTTTGATTCAACACAAACTTCGCATTTGTGTCTATTATCAATGTTAAAATTAGGCAATAGTCCTGAACTTACCATTATTTGTTAAGACTAATAATTGATATGCTCAAACCTAGAATGTCATACATCACACAACTCAACAATATAAGCATAAGAGTTGTTATTATTATTATTATTCTTCTTGGGCGTTTGTGCCAGTACATTTAATTTGAACATGTCATCATTTAGATAACCTTTTCCCACATACATACCCCCCTTGGTCATAACAAACTTATATGATTCAAATATAAACTTGAACCTATTTTTGTTAAGTAGGTCCCTGACACAAGATTCTTTCAAATCTCTATCACATGTCATACATCAGTGAGGGTTAGTATCTTTCCAAAAGTCCATTTCAGCAGGATTTTTCATCTGCCTTCCACAGAAGCTGTTGAAGCATTTCTCATGTACAGTTTATCACTGCCATCTAACTTTTCATAAGTGGTGAAGAATGATTTGTCCCCCAAAAACGTGTCTAGTAACACCAATATCAATCCACCAGCCTTTGATATCAGAGACCATATTTACCTCATAGATGATAGCAACTAGATTGTCATCTTCTACAACATTGGTCTGGTTGTTGGAGCTTTGTCCTCTCTTGAGTTTACAATTTGCAATTATATGGCCACTCTTACCACAAACCCAACAGATTCCACGAATGCGCTTGTTAATGTCATTCCTTGACCTAAGATTCACATTCTTTGTCTTGGATTGATTCTTCTTTGGATGACGCCTTGAAGCTTCAGCAATATGTGCTTTAGCTTCAAATGTCTATGGCTCTTTATCCCCCTTTCTATAGTCTTCTTCAATGCGGAGTTTCACAGTAAGATTCTCCATGGACAACTTTTTACGCTTGTGTTTGAGATAACATTTGAATTCTCTCCAAACATGAGGCAATATCTCAATCACAGCAGCAACTTGGAATAGTTCATTAATGACCAATCCTTCACTTTGCAAATCACTAGTGATAATTTGCAATTCTTCTAACTGGTTGACTACCAACTTGGTATTAACCATTTTATAATCCAAGAATTTTCCAACAAGGAATTTTTTAGTACCAGTATCCTCCAGCTTATACTTCTTGTCTAATTCATCCCACAATTGCCTTGAAGTATCAAAGGCATTGCAGTAGACGTTATTCAAGGTGCCATCAAGGCAATTTAGAATGTAGTTGTGATATAGAAAGTCTGAATGCAACCACGCCTGCTTGGCAGCTTCAGTTTCTGGAGCGATTGCTTCTAAAGGAGTAGTTGGGCATACCTTCTCTAGGATGTGAGCAAGATTCAAGGTGGTGAGGTAGAAGATCATCTTATGTTGCCATATTTTGAAGTTCTTTCCCTCGAACTTCTCTAGTTTTTCAGTATGATATTTGATAATGGTCGATCCCATCATCGTAGGAGCATTAGTGGAAGTGTTTGCAGCCATGTTAATTGTCTTTAGATTGTTGGGTAAATATACGCTGTATATTTGAACTGTGTAATACGGACAAACAGATTACAACGTAACTGACTACAAACGATACAAATTCGAACAACTTGATGAACACCAAAACTTGATAAAAAAAAAATAGTTGAGGCACGCTTTAATAACACTAACCTGAAGACAATTATTTGTTCTGCACAAGTTGCTAGCAGACTACAACCATTGTCTCAACAAAATACAACGACTAACTCTAGTATAACTGCAACCTCGAACTACTTGGATATGACTGAACTCTTAGATACTTGCTCTCAAAACAAACAAGAACAACAACTCAAAAAGAAGAGAAAATTCTTGTGAGAGGAGGATAATACCCAATTGTAGTATGCTTGGATATCTCAAAATGAAGAAATCCAGAACTATATATAGTTGTCTAAACAATTAACCTCTTACTCAAAATTAAACACATATGTAACCTTTTTACATATGTAACTTTAATACATAAATATAAAAACTTCTCATTTAAGAAATAACTTAAGTTTAACATATATGTGATTTTAACACATGTAACTTCAACAAATAAAGTTACAAAAGTATAACTTTAACACAAAAATTAATAAAACCAATAAAGAAATATTCACAATGTATATGTGAATAAATTTCTTTAAATTTTACTTTCTTTCACACTTTAATAAAATCTGACAAAAGAATTGTTGATTAAGGTTGTCACTCAAGTAATATCTAACTCTACATTAAATTGTTTTGCGCTACCTATGAGTTTATGCAAAGAGATTAACTCTCTTTGTGCAAATTTTAGTGGGGATCAAATAAGGCAACAAAAACTCATTAGATGAGCTGGAAGAGGATGTGCATGAGTAAGGAGCAAGGCAGAATGACTTTCAAAGATGTGAGCATCTTCAATCAAGCCATGTTGGCCAAGCAGAGTTGGAGATTACTTAAGAATCCAGATGATTTGTTGGCCACAATAATGAAGGGTAAATATTTTATACATAGGAACTTCATCAGAGCTCAATTGGGGAAACACCCATCCTATGTGTGACGAAGCTTAATGTGGGGAAAGATATTTCCTTAAGGATTGTCGATGGCGAGTAGGGAATGAGGCAACGATTACTATTGGAAGTGATCCTTGGATTTCAAGAGATGAAAAATTAAGCCAGATTTTGTGAAAGAAGGAATGCAACATAATTATGTGGCTTGCCTTTTATAAGGAGAGGGAATATGGAATGTTAACGTAGTGCATGGAACCTTATGTGAGGAGGAAGCTGAAATGATACTAAGAATTCTCCTTCCTCGAAAGAGTCAAATGGATGAAGTAATATGGAATTACGACACAAGGGGTCATTTCTCAGTTAAAAGCGTATATTATTTGGGATTGGTCTTAAAGAGTAACAAAGAGTGTTCCTCATCTTCTTTAGATAGGCAGAAGTTAGGGTGGAAAAAGGTTTGGAAGATTAATGTGTGACCTAAAATTAAAATTTGTTGTTGGAAGAGTTATCATGATATCCTACCAACTAAGGTTAAACTTTCAAATAAAGGGAATCACTACTAATTTGCTGTGTATTTTTTGTAGGCAAAAGGAAGAGTCCATACGACATGTTTTCTGAGAATATAAGGTAACGAAAGGCCTTTGGAGTAACTACATTTCTCCTAATGCTAATTACTTTCATATGGACAGGACAAATTGGTTGACCAAGGAATGCTGAAGTGGATTTTGGAGAAGACTTTAGAGGAAGACAAAGGTAAAGGTTTGCTATTAGCTTGGTAAATTTGGGAAGCAAGGAATAAAGCCATTTTCAAAGGACAAAATCCAGATATCAGAGAAATTGAGCAAGCAATTAACATATATATATTGTTGGGTTTTGTGCCCTTAGCTCGTGTATTCGTAATTAATGAACAAATTATTTATTCAATAAAGAGTTATTTTATTATTTCTTTGCATTACTCATATTCCAATAAACTAAGATCCAAGGTTATTTAATGTAATTGGAACTGTATATAACTAACATATGGTGTATATTTAATATACAATGTATATATTTGTTATACATTATATAATAAATATACAATATATATTCGATATACAAGTGGATAATGTTTCAGTAATAACCTAAATGGTCTATAATACATGGATAAGGTTGGATACCTTATCCTGGTAACACTATGAATACGACCCGCTTTGTAATAGTTACAACCGACTTTATCCAGGTCGTTCATGTGGAGACATACAAGTGGGGGTATCCTATACAATGAGTTTGTATAAGACCGGACCACGAAATAATTAATCTTTAGTTATAACACCGTAAACTAACTACATTAATATTTCATAGGGATGGCCAGATAACTCGATCTTAATCCGGAACGAGTTATGGACTCCTACTTATAATGGATCGTCCTTTGATTTATATGGGTGAGAGTGACCCGGGTTGTCAATTCATAATCCTACCATTTTGGGGACGAAATTGAGTGGGGAGCTAGGAATATAACTACGAAAGATGGAATTTACTTATTCCTGACTTTATGGTAAGTAGATGAGTATTCCCTTAAATGTTGACTCTTGGACTTGAACAAGGAGTCTCACCCTCTCATTAGACCGAGAAGGACTTCTGTTTAATGGTCGGACCATAAACAAGTTGTTCATTAGAGGAGTAATGGTACTTAAAGTGAAAGGGTAACTCAGGGGTAAAACGGTAATTTGACCCAACTGAAGCAGCGAACACTCATGAATGATTGACTTGCTGTCAATGGTCAATTTACGTGGACACAAAATATTCTACGGTGAGAATAGTGCAGTTGTGGGTCTTTAGTAGAGTAACTCACAGTTAACAAATGTTGATTAATATGGTTAATGAGTTTAATAAATTAATCTCGTACCGTTAGAGTTTTTGATATGTAGTTCCATTAAGTCTCATTGCTAGCTCACAATGGGTAAAACAAGGACAAGAATTATGAAATAATTTGAAATGTTCAAATTACATATAAGGGAATGTATATATAATGTATATTTTGATACATTATATAAATATATATTAATTTTGGATAAAGATTCAAAATTAATACCATATATTATGAGATAAATATTTGAATACGATTCAAATAATAATTAATGTGAATTGGATTCATATTAAAACTAAAGGTTAAAGTTAATGTGCATAAGATGTACATTAAAACTATAAATTATATCAGATAGATGTAGTTTTTAATTAATTATGTGATAATTATTTGCTAAAGGTTAAATAATTAATTGTTAATTATTTATTTATCTAATTAATTATTAATTAGATTAATTATTAATAATTATATTAATTAATTATTAATTATTAATTAAAGTCCCCTACATAATTGTAGGGGAGTGGATAGTTAAATGATGTAGGGAGTATTGGTTGTTTAAAGAACCCTAAAATGGTTCTGCATTTCAGTTTTTTTTTTTGGCTGACGCATTGATTTCCCTTGTTCATAAGGGTAAAAGAAGCTAAATGGGTGCTGTTTTATAACGTTTTAAACTCGGAAACCGTATTTTAAGCTTATTATAGTATCCAAAACCTTTCATTTTAAGTTATCTTAGGTTATACATGCACATATGACGTTTTTACATCATTTAGAGTTGATTTCTAATGGAAATTACACTTTTGTGCAGAAAAATTTCGAGCTAGGCGCCTGGCGCCTTCCCCAATCCCGAGATTGCCCTTAATGTAAAACGCATGTTTTGGTGTGATTTTAAGCCTTCCCAAGCTCTGCCACGTGTCGTCCATGCATTAAAGGTTGTCAATTCAACAACTACCCAACCAAAAGGTGTTTGAAATGAATGGATCTCCACAAAGCTCTCAACCTCCTAACCACCTTGAAGTCCCTATAAATTCAGCAACTCATTCTCTTCATTCATCATCGCGGAGTGATCATTTTAGCTTTAGACATTCCTTCTCAGCTTATTTACGTTTTCTCTTTTAGTCTTTGAGTTGTTATTGTGTTAAACCTTACTAATTTCAATTTCTTCCTTTATTTTCTAGCTTATTATTCTTCAATTTTAAGTTTTAATATTGTTTAATTAAAATTCCAGAAAGTTCTTTGTTACTCTTATCTCTCTCTTTCTCATTACGAAGTTGTAATCACTCAACCTTGAGGAATCGACAGACTACTGCTCCCCAATCTTGAAAGAGAACGGGTTAGGGTCATTCGGGTTGCAACTCCACAATTTCTATCTTGGTTTAATTATACTCATCTTTTAATTATGTCGTCTACTTCCATCAACATTAAATTCTGTCTTTCCTTTATCATCATGAGCTAAATTTATTTTTCCCAAGCCCGGTTATGGATAGTTAGTTAAAGTTTTTAAAATCCGACAAGGCAAAAGGCGTTTTTCTCCTCTTTTATCACTTAAAGTTGTTTCTATAAGTTGAAACTTGATTTGGCCAATTAATGTTTTAACCAAGCATCAATACTGAAAGGGTTGATACGTTTTCACAACTTTACTGGTTTAACTTTAGAGAGGAATACTTTAGACATAAAGATTTCGCTCGGGTAGCCTAGACATAGGACCTTGACCTAAGGTTACGGTTGGTTTTTACTAAATTAAGTTCTTTTTTCTAATAGACATATTAGGAATGAACTTAAACCTTCAAAATCACTTGGACATAAGAAGATGGCGAAGTAAAACAGAAGAAAATTTATGAGAGGCGTCTGGCGCCTAGTTGGAAAAAGTTTGTGTATTTTTAGCTAATTTGAAGTAATTGGGCTGGGTTTATTGCATTGAGTTTTTAAATATCAAAACCAACATTATCCTTATTATTTGTTACCCCAAATTCAATTACAAAGCCTCCGATCATTAACATTTCCTATAAAAAGACTTCATTTGTCCCTGAGGATCGATACTCAGAATACTCGTTTCGTTTTTACTACTTGTGACGGGTGTACACTTGCGCTCTCATTTATTTTAAATCCAAAATCCCAAACAGGCATCACCTGCAAAAAGAGGATCTCTCTCTCAATTA